CGTACGTAGTAGTAGTAGTAGTAGTATATATATATATATATATATATATATATATATATATATATATATATATGAGTGTGTGTGACTGTCATTGTTCATCAGTTTTGTTATTCATCATTTCTGAGCCATGTAAAAAGAATTAATATAAAATATACGCGCTCGGACACAACTACAGAAAATGTTTCGTCTACGCCTAAATAGATGTGGGAGCCTATTTTTGTACCCACAGAACGTTATGATAGTTAACTACAGAATTATTTGGGCGACCTCAGAAATGCACATCAATATTTGTATCCAATCAACTATTGCACAATTTGACTAAATATTAAAGTAACCGTCGGATATATAACAATACTTGTGTATATTTACCTATATAAATAGTGTTCGACCGTCAATTTTGTGTTCTGATTTATACTAAGGCGTCCGAAAGTTCTAAACAGTCCCGAGATCGTATCGCTGCGTGTGCGTAACGTCGTCAGAGAAGTATCTGCCCGATATTTAAACTCTGCAACTGTCGAATGGACAATACTCAAGATGGAATGTGTATTCCATCGCCGTATATATGTCAATAACAGCGTCTAAAAATAGGTTCTACATACGCTCGCACAATATTTGCATAAATAAATATTTACAAGTACATATGTAGCTATTCCGAATATTCTCTGCTAAATACTATTATAAATAGTAACTCCATGTCCCAAATCGGGTTAAAATGATGTCATGACTTTTTTATCCGACATATTTCTTATTTACATATTTTGTGAATATGTATTTTAAGTGTTTACGTCACTATTTACTTGAGAAGTTTTTCTGTTTTCCCACAAAAACATAATCGTTCACCCTCTCTTAACAACCTCGGTTTTTCTCATGTAAACGTTTTACAATCGATGGTTTTTTTGCGTTAAAGCTGAACGTTTATGCCTTAGTAGTAATATCATAGAGATTTCAGTTTCTCTTTTTTTTACGTTCAACGTTTACTGCATCATGGATTACGTTCCACGTTTACTGTATGGGTTACGTTCCACGTTTACTGTATCATGGGTACAAACCCATTTGGCATTGCATAGCTGGAACTTTGGAAGTCTGTGTACAACCGTGTGCAACTGCGTGCATCGGAGCACACTTCTTGGTTCACGTTTCTATTCACATACTGCTTTGTCCTAGAGGCATGTATTTATGTACGTAGATGGACATATATAGTCATTTCATTATTTTTGTTATATGGATTTGTAACTGAGTGTACCTGATAAGCATAGGCAATCACAATGGCTTGCTGATACTTTAGCGTACTTTAGACACTACCACTAACATAGAGCAGTATGTCGAGCATTGTACCCCGTAGTGCTGTCTGTGTCAGCTCTTTTGTTGGTGGTGCGTGTTTGACTATTCGTAGAGAGAATACGAATATCCGCCGAACAACGCAGCCACAAATCTATTTTAGACACAATAGTCAATACATAAAGGTCAATTATAGTGCTCGATTGAGGTATATCTTTTGCGAGATAAGTAGACCACAACTCAATCCAAGGGTGAATCAACAGATGCCGTCGCATGGGGGTCGACTGAGTATATCCATCAGGTGTGTACTTATAGCTATGACTCGACCAATATGCTCCTGTGTCAATCACTGAGTATGTTTTCTGTCCTTCACGTACAAATACACGCACGCGTGTCACACACGCACACTCATTCGAAATCACAAACGCACACATATCCTAACACACATCCATATCCACACGTCCATAATATACGCGTGTACACACACATACACATGTGTACTCACATAAACAC